TGGACCACCAAGTACTGCAAGCTAGACTATTATGCAGTTGTAAACACAACACAGGGGGTCCCTGGGCCTGAGAAGGGAAGAAAAGGGAGTTTAATATGGCTAATGATGTGACTAAAACTAAGAAGGATTAAAATGACTAAATGTGACTAAAACTAATATGCATTTTTCGTCTAAAAACTAAGACTAAATAAAAAATAGCTGCCAAAATTAACACTGGTTCACGGGGATGGATTTAAAAGCCATTCATAGAAAGACATGCAGGCACTCGTGTTGCTGTTCCATTGATTCATCTGCTGCCGTCGTTTCTAGGTCGCTGGTCCTCCCTTCAAATACAACACTCTGAATGCCTTCACAAAGCTGCTGGGGGCGCCCACCAACATCCTGCGGGACTGTGTGCGCATCATGAAGCTTGAACTGGTGGGTGGCAGCTTTTTTTTTTTGAAGAGCAGCGGTTACAATATATACAATAAACATGTTGTGTCTGAGTCCCCTCAGTTTATCTGTTGTGTTTTTACATTCTTTTATCCACATGATGAAACTACTAATATAGTCTCAGTCTCAAAATTTGACTTTTGTTTCCCCACTGGCAAATATAGTGTTTGTAACAAGATACCCAACAAGTCCACTAATCACTCTGATAAACTCTCTACTGCATTTCTGTTTCAGCGAATGCTTCTTTTCTTTAAATGAAGCACTTGGAACTGCCTCCGTGTTTTGAAAAGTGTTACATGTATTTTGCAGTTCCCCGACCAGGCCGCTCAGCTGAAGTGGAACGTCCAGTTCTGCCTCACCATCCCTCCCAGTGCCCCTCCCATCGCCCCTCCTGGAACCATCGCCGTGGTGCTCAAGTCCAAGATGCTGTTCTTTGTAAGTCTCGTCAGAGCCTCGCCGTTAGCGCCACGCGGCATCGTGTGAAGCAACCTCACCCTGTGCGGGTTTTTTTTTTTTTTTCCTGTTTGCCTCACAGTTGCAGCTGACCCAACGTATCCCGGTGCCCCAGGAGCCAGTGAGCATCATCGTGCCCATTGTGTACGACATGGCCACTGGCCTCACGCAACAGGCCGACATCCCCAGACAGCACAGCTCCTCTGGCGCCGCGGCGCTCATGGTGTCCAATATCCTGAAGAGGTTCAACGAACTTCACCCAGCCAGACAGGGTGAGGCTCTGAATAGCTTACTACGGGGGGGGGTCACTGACTAATCATTGTGCTTATTTATACTTGATCCTAAAATTAATTTCTCATTTTTCTGTCTTCCTTTCAGGGGAGTGTACGATATTTGCATCTGTTCACGAGCTAATGGCCAACCTGTCTCTACCCCCCGGCACGCGTCAGTAGAAACACACACAGAGCTGTGGAGCTCAACCAGAGCCCCCTGTGAGGCTGAGGACGGGTCCGGCTCAGAAGCAACTGGAACTGTGGTCCCAAGGAGTCCAAATCCAGCCAGCGTCTCCCTCCGCTTAAGCCACTGGACTATTGGCCTGATGTGGAGATGCTGTTATGAGAAGAATTTAAATATGTACAGTTGTGGACCACGGTCTTTATTCTTGATAGGAGCTCACAAACCAGATTTGCTGTTGAGGTAGATCATGGCTGAGAGAGGGGAAATGTAAATGTTTTTTTTTTTCCTCCAGGTGCACTTGTAAACAAGATTATCTATTGAAATTAAGGTTGTTTACAAAAATATGTATTATATTGTATATTTGAGTGTTGAACAGAATCAGATGACTTTTTGTTTTTGCTAGAGAATTGTCTTCAGTTTTTTTTCCTTTTTTTTATAATGCCAGACTGATATTATTTTAGTATCAGGAGATATATTCTTCAGCTCACTATTTAAATGTTTACTTTGCAAAGACCTCTGCATTTTTATTTCAAACTTTCACTTTGAATACTGTAAAGACTGTGACAAACTTTGATTAGTCAGTTCTATTTTATTAAGACCCATTTTGAGTCCAGGTTGGAGGATTTGAGATTTGGTTTCTGACTTTGCTATTTAATAAACCAAGCCGAGCTGGTTTGTACTTTGGAAGAACTTCCAATGGCAGAATTAAAAAATCACTTCATTTAACAGGTAAAAAAAGAGGCTACTCGCAACACTATACAAATACTATATTATTAGCACACAGCACATTTCCGAGAGTTAAATTGACTCAGGTGGTGTTTCTATTGTCCCAATCTCGTCAGTGTTAAATCAACACTCAACAAAGTGTTAACAATTTAACTCCGAATAGAAATGAATCTGCTCAGTGTTAAATACACTCTACGTAGAGTTAAACCCAACACCGAGAAGTTTGACACTGGTGTACAGTTACATTTCTAATCTCTAAAAAGAGTTAATTTAACTACCAAGTGTCGCAAATAAATCTGATCAGTGTTAAATAAACTATATAGAGTTAAAACAAGTGTGAGGCTGGTGCTGAGAGTTAAATGAACGCTTTAATAGTTTTGAAAGTGTCGCAAATAAATTTGATAAGTGTTAAACTCTATGCAGTTAAAAACGAAACACCAACAAGTGTGAGACTGGAGTTGAGAGTTACATTTCAAATCTATTAAAGAGTTAGTTTTAACAATACAGGTCTAATACTGAATAAGACCGTTTAATGCTAAACATTTTCCTTAAATCGTGATTTACACAACATACACCATAGTCTTATACAATCATAGCTGTATTTTATTGTTTACATACCAAATAGCACATTAGAAAAGGTGACAGTGGGGGACCAAATACATCAGAATCCATCAGAATTGTCGGCATATTGCTTGTCAAAAGCTTTATAATAAAATAAGCTGTCGACATTTACAACATGGAATGCACCAGATCTTTCCTCTATACAAAATGCACTAAAATGGCCATGAAAGCCTAAAGTGACCACTTCAGAAAGTAGAAGGTAAGCACAACCACCTTGCAAAATCACATTGGCAATTCATTTAAACACAGATAGTTCAGATTGAACCCCAAAGCACACAAATAAGCCAACATGGTATTCATTACCATAATACTTCACCCAGGTAGTTGTTCAAGTGTCATCATGTAAACTAAGCTTAAGGTGCTCACTTAAAACTTCACATCCCTCTAATGTAGAAACCATCTCAGTATGTATTGGTCCATGTTCAACACAGCAAAGTTATCACACATATGGTAATAACTCAGTGTATTAAACAAACACTCTCTCTTCAACCCAAAATGTGACAATAACTGGATTATCTCTCAAACTGCTGAAGTGTTGAGAATAAAGATCTTTAGAGCGCAACACAACACCAGGTTGATCTTTAGAAAAGATCCCTTGGAAAGCGTCCCTTTCTGCTAAACATAAACGACGACAGTATTTGGCACTGAAAGATTCAACAAATCCAAATAGACCATGAAGTGCAAGATTGTCTCCTGTGATCTGCACTACACTTCCTCTTAATGGACTCAGATACTGGGGTTTGTACACCATCTGTTTCCAAACATTTTAAATCCTCCACTAGAGGCTTCACAATGGCATCAAAACCATACTTTTTCATGTGATCGGTGTGAAAAAGCAAGAGAAGCTGAAAGTTCATCAGTACAGAATTCTATTTTGGGGGGAGGTTTTTCAAAATAATGTACATGCAACCCAGTTGGTGGCAGCCTGTTTTAGGGATTGGCCGTCTCGAAATCGTCATACAGCTGAAGCTGTAAAGCATTCCTCTCCAAAGAAAATAATCGATTACTTTTCACATATGCGCCATCACCATTGTCTTCATAGAAGCCATCTTTATGTACTTTTGTCTGCTGAATAGTGGATACTGGATAGTTTTGGGGACCGGGACATAGACAAACTTGTCTGTAACAGCAACCTGACTGTACATCCCAGTTGTTTTGTCAAGCCTGACATCAAATCTCACACCTAGAACATGTTCTACTGGTTGCACAATTTCCAGTCGGGGTCATAAGTCGTGCGGCCGGTACCAGGTTCGGGGCCTGGGGTCGTGGGGCCGGCCGAGAATGTAAGTAATGGCACAAAGTATGAATCAGGAGGTAACGACTGAATTTTTTATTTATTAAATGAACTCAATTTACCACCGTCGTTGCCTTGGGCAGAACTAAGGAGCTCTTCGACACGGAGAGTTGGCACTAGCGCTTTGGCCTCTTCAGTGATGTGTGGTCGGAAAAACGTGGGCCATTTAGACAAGAACTTCCCAGATGTCTACTCTCCAAAAAGCATCAAGAAATTCTGCTCAATCTAGTATCAAACAAATACTGTGGGTTAACCACGCTTCCCACGAATTTGCACACTTCAAACAGAACCCCAAGCACTTATGTAATGTCCAAACGTACACTAATGTAATCAAACGTGGAGGCACAAACATTAACAGGACAGCAAATATGGCAGGGCATGTCTTTACATAAAGCCTCATTAGATATTATTCAACGCATATGTAAACTCACCAGGCCAGGTATGTCCAGAACAGATACAGACTTGTTGGGATCATGAACAAGTTTCTGTCTGTGTTCAAAAGTAGCCTTCATTTTGTCCAAGACTAGGGCGACATCAGATGAATGCTTCATCATAGATGTCACTTCTTCACACTCTGAGGTAGATGCCATGCAGTCCCATGCAACCTTTGGACCACCACTGTATTCTTCCACGGCCACCCGAGACCTTGACCGATCAGATTGATTTCGTCGAACCGTTTTAAGACGCCATGGACTATACATGCACAATACATGGACTGTAGCCCAAATGGACATTTGAAAAAATGTCAGTTTAATCAATAATAATATAATAATAATATAAAAATATGTTGATTTATAACAACAATTCCCTTTTATATTGAATGGACTACAGTTATTAAGCAGTACGAAAAGAAAGTATCAGTACACTGGAAAAAATACACTTTGTTCATTTCCACCACCTAATTCCTGGTCGTCTGTGTTCGTGTTAATGCTGTAGATAAAGTCTGCATCCTCATCTAGAACATGACATCATTCATCTCTGTTGGTGGGAGGGAAGGGGCGTTCAAAACCGCAAATCACAGACTGCGCCTGCAAAGGGCGTGGGCTTTGTCTTTAATAGTGTTATTACATAGCTGCATGGATCCCCCGGTAGTTGAGGGCGTATTCTACGCCTCGCGGATGCGCTTGAGCGTCGGCACCTGCGTGAGAACGACCCGCGGACGAAGAGAAACCGGCTTTTATTTACTCCGACCGAACGTCTGACACGTGAACGCAACCCCGCGCGATGGCTTGGATACTTCCTACAAAATAAATCGATAGATAGTCCCTTATGCGTCTATCTTTCCTCTCTCTCTCTCTCTCGCTTTCCACAGCCTCTAATGGCGACGTCGCGTTTTGCACACAATGGCTTTCATCAGCAGTGCGCATTTAGCAGAATAGCGAAATAAAGCACAGCCCGGTTCTAGTCGGATATGGCGGGGAGCACATCCGAGCCGCTGTGCCAGCCGTGCGTTTACCGCGGAGCCTTCAAAGGTGAGTCTTCTTCCTCTACTGCCTACGGACGTAGCAACGTTAACATCTGTCCAGTTGTGGAAATTGCAACTTGGAGGAGTGTGTGAGTGTGTGTGTTCCACCGCTGGAACTGACCGCTCCCATTCGGTCCCCCGTTGAAGTCCTCCATCCTTCCGCGCGCGCACACACACACACTCACACAATCACATGCACGCGCTCACAACGTGAGTTAATGTTCGTTATTGGGTAGATGAGTCCGACAGACGGGCCTGCTGATTGGTTGCCGTGTGGTCAGTGGAGCTACAGGTGAGGAGACCTCTGATGCCGGTCCAGCTGAGTCCGGAGCAGGTGGGCCTGGAGATGTTGTGTCTGTGCGGGCAGCTGGACCTCCTCATCAGGGCACAGATGCAGCAGGTACACTTTGACCCCGAGCACCTGAACGCTATGTATTTAACTCCTGCACTTTCTGTCCTGGTGTCTGACTCGCAGGGGAAATTTGACTGACGTTTGATATAAATAAAAATGAAATACCTCCATCAGTCATGACCAAAGCAGACTACAGTTTGTCTTTGGACTTATGATCTATTAATGCAAAACTCATGCCCATTTAAAGCGAGTCAATTCGCTTACTCCATCATGTTGTAAGAGAGGGCAGGACATTAACTAGGCAACAGGCTGCAAATGGATCTGCATGGGGTTTTTTTGCAGCTGATTTCATTCATTTTAAACAAAATTAAACTTTTGTTAAAATGTGACTTAATCATAACTTTTATCATCCTGCCAATGAAAACCCATCAGTGTGAAATCCCTCTTGAATAAAACGAGTAAAAGGCCCTGCTTGCTGCCTTTATTTTGAGTCTTTGGCAACAATTAAGTGTGCTTTTATTTTCCATAAATGTAGATGATGCACGTTTAGGCCAGGCGCCAATGTCTTTTCTAAAGGCAACATTAGACTTGAGGCCAATGCCAGCTTAAGCACGATTATGTGCATCATATCCAGACATGTCGAGACTTCTGAACTGATTTACGGTCCGTATTAAAGTCTTTCCTACTGTTCATCAAGCGTTTCCCATCCTTCTCCTCTTCAGTTCCAGGAGCAGCTGGGACACGGCTGCAGCCCGGAGGAGTCAGACACGTTTCAGGCTCAAGGATCAGAGATCCTTGACCAGATGCTGCAGTGCCTTGAACATCTACCAAAGCCTATGCCCCAGCTGGAGGTATCACATCCCATGATGTTGCCTTAATTAAACACAAGCACTCAGCTTGCACGCCTCCCTAAAAAGGGGCTTGAATTCAGGGCAACTGCTGCATGCGGTAAAAGCAGAAGGCTAATGTGTCTCCTCAGGACTACCTGGACATGGTGGGTCTGTCGGTCATGTTCCCCCGTGTAGAGGTGTTCCTCATTCAAGGCAGCCCAGTGGACATGCTGGAGAGGCCGCCGATGGACGGTAAGGGGACGGGGGAGAGGAAGAGGATGCAATTCAATCCGTTGTTGTTTTATGCATCGATTTAGAACGGAACATTATACATCCTGGTCTTTTTATTCTAGCTGGGATTCAGTTAAAGAAAAAAAAAGTCTAAAAATGTTGAACGGTTTACAATTTATAAATATGCATATTGGACCTTTCTGTTCTGTATTAATCCTAACCTGGACACCCAGCCAGTGATCGCATTGTATCTACACAAGCTACTTAACTTCATTCAAGCATTTCCCTTTAATGCTACATAATACATGAAATACTCAAATTCCAAGTGTTTTTACGTTATGTGTCAGGATTTAACATGCAAAGTAAGATTTTACACAAAGCTTACAAGATTGCCTTATAGAATATGGTGTCTCGTTATAGATTGTACAGATTAAACCAGCAGTTTATAAATGATATATTCAAGACTGGCTCTAACACTCACAGGGGCCTTTTAATCTGCACCATGAGCACATCTCGCTAATGATCCTCCTGCACTTTTACTGCCAACCTACACTCAAGTAAAGGAGCTACATTTGCTGCATGTTCTCGCAGAACTCCCCCCCCCCCCCCCTTGAAGAAATAGACTAATGTGAGCCGATGCTTCTTCCTGCAGACTACTACTCCCACGTCACCAAACTGAACCAGCTCCTGGTGCTGAGTCAACAGCTGGAAGAAGATATCCGGCACCTCGGGAGTCACAAATACATTGCCCACCAGCTGTCGGTCATCTATGTGAGGACAATACATCTCTACCGTGCGTCAACTTCGCTGTCTTCGTTCTGCTGTGCTTTTGGACATGGCTCTTGCTCTTTTTTGTCTGTTTGTTCTTGCAGCAAGTCGTCTGCTCTTTCAGAGGCATTCAGGCTTTTTCCAAAATGAAGAAAGACATCGAGGCCAACTTCAAACAGCTGAAGCAGTCTCTGGTGGCGGAGGAGGGCTCCAGGCACGAACCTCAGCTGGCCGCAAACTACATCGACTGGTGAGTTTGAGTCCAAACGTCCGGCCGACGATGATTAATGCAGCAACAACCTGACGTCAACACTCCTCCTCCGCGCAGGGTACTAGAGCTGACTCAGAGCTTGACGTCGCTGGTGTTGACGCTGCCCGAGGAGCTGACCGAGGAACTCGACCAGGCCGTGACCTTCGTGTCCCAGTTCCTTTCCTGACTCCCCCCCCCCCACCCCCAAAGCTGACGCCTGGTGTTGTCACGACTGTCAAACGGTGCTATGTTATTGAATTCAACCGGGGGGATTGCGTACTCCATTTACAAATCATGTAGGTTTTATATATATATGTATATAATTCGTCCTCCTGGTCCATATTCGTTCCTACGGTGAGTCAGTTAGAGATGAATGTAATGTATGAATCCCTCCTTGCACTACTGTCATAACTACTGTTAAACTTTCTTTTTTTTTAACCTAAAGTGGAATAATAAAATGTAATGCAATAGGGAAACATGTTTGTGTTCATATCCAAAGCAACAAGGATGGAATCCTTGTATATCTTTTTTAATTTTTTCTTTTTTTTACCAATTTACTATATTATTCATGACGTGATGAACACAATGGCTCCTCCTGCTGTTCAACTCGTGCGCAGTGTCATGAAACCACGGCAGCGCCCTTCTGAACGAACATCTGATGCGGTTAATTAAAACCATTGCTGCCACACTTGTTGTACACTTTTTACACATTTTACACACATTAGACATTTTGACACCGAACTCACAGCAGCACAGATTCAATACGAAGACCCGTCCTGCTGCGTACAAGTACTAAGTCACATTGTGACGAGTCCCGTCCACGGACGCGCCCCACAGATGTTGGCAGCGCTGAAGAACCGAGCTGGACGGAGCCGTCTTTCTGTGACACCCGCTGGGGGCGGGACTAACCTGTGACTGACGCCATGCAATGACCAATCGCACACGTTCGATTTGGATCACCAGCCAATCAACAATGAGCTAGGCTGTCCCTCGCTTGACTATGAGAGCTGCTGAGAAAACACGGAGGATATTCGTGGTGAAAAAAGGTTTAAAATGTTTTATATATCGGTATCTATAAATATTTAGCCCGATAGCGTTCGGATTCAACATTTAACACATCAATGAACATCATGGAAGGATGAATCGATGTGAAGAGGGTAAGTTTGAGAAGTTGAGGAGCGTCGAGCGGTTTGTTTACCTGTCAGTCATCTTTGTTTCGAGGTAAACACGCCGCAGGGATTCGCGTTGGCAGGCAGAGACGCGTTGTGTTACTAAAAGCCTCATGGGGCTAGAAGCATCTGCTCTGCCGGAGTGCCCAAATGCAACCCTTTATACCCCTTCTGTCAGCTCCTCACCGAGGGGGGGCAATCATTCAGAAAGAGTGCCCCCCCCTTACAGCACCCCTTCCACTGGGTTTCGGGTCATTATTGGCCCTTCTTCTTTACAGATGTTGATCAGTGGTTTGTGTTTTTCTGCTGCACAATCTGTCTAAAATATCTTCCTAATTCCCCCCTCCTTCATCCCACCGTATATACTTCCAGATGCGGACACGTGTTAAGATCTGAGGAGGAGATGATACAAGACCCCACGGCTGCATCCAGGGCCACAGAGCAGCAGTAAGATCGAGATGAACCGTTATTCATTCTCAGGGCAGCCTTCAACATTACTGCTGCTGAATGTTGCTCCTAAATGTACTTTAACGTATGATGAGTAAAATAACTACTATTTTGCAAAGCATGCCTCTTTCAGAGCTTTAACATCTGGAGTATTCAATGTATGTAAAGATGATTTAAAAAATGATGCACAAAATGTGTACACACAAATTATCATCAAATATAACATCAAAAAACTTCATTATTCTGAATGCAAATAACTTCAAATCCAGCAACATGACTTGGGTCTTTTGGCTTTTTGATTAACCTATAAACATGCTCTTTATACAGTATTTAATGAGTGGATCATGTTTTGTTTTTATAAAGTTAAAGTAACTACAGCAGTAACATAAATGTAGAAGAGTAAAACTATAAACTAACCTTTATTTGTTGTACTTAATTAAAGCAGAAGTACATCAAAATTGTATTTATATACTACTTGATCACAAGTTCTTAGTTACTTTCAACCATCGGTCCTTAAATGCTAATCATAGACTGTAAATAAGATCCAGCTGTAGCATTTCCTGCTTTATGGTTCATTTGATCCTAAATAGACCATAATTCATAATTCAATTCATAGTTCATTCTCATGCTGTATTGAAGACCTGAAACTAAAGATTGAACCCATTAAGGTTTACTGAGGTAACGAATCACGTGAGGAGTTGAATTATTCTCTCATAGACTTTTCTTCGTAAACTGAGGAATCAGTAGAGAGAATACCATTTTTAAAAAAACAGAACCGGAAGTTGCCAATTGGATTTTCTAGTCTGGTAATGTAATTTAATGTTTTGACACACCAGGAAGAACTCTCGCGATGAGGCAAACTCCTCCCGGGCTGTCAATCAATCCGAGGACGAGTTGGGGAACGCGAGCCGTCGGAAGAGCGTGGTAGGTGTTCATCATTTAGCATGTAGTTTCTCAAGGCCTGATGGCAGCTATTCACCAGAAGAGCAGTTGAGGACACCAGGGAAGGACACACTGGTTGAAGTGCAAATAATAAGGAGGCACCAACCTGACTTTTTCATTCTTGATAACGATACCTGGTTAATATGTAGAATAATTTAATCCAATATTAGATTGCATTCATTATATAAAAACACAAGACACAGATATGAACTTTGACTTGACATGAAAGTATAATGAAATAATCTAGTTTAGGTTATGCCTTGGAGTAGTCTGGGTCTGACAACAAATGCCTAAACATTTCTACCAGAGGAGAATAAATGAAAAATCTGCACCTGTAGACCACCGACCTCCATCACACCGGCTCCTTCAGCCCCGTCAGTCTCCTGTCACATCTGACTCTATTAAACAGAGACAAATTCACAATGTCAACAATGCCAAAGTATTTGGGGAGGCTGAGGGACATCAGCACGCCCGCGGTCAAAGCCTCATATATTTACCGCCACTCTTTCAAAACCCACAGAGACAAAGAAAAAGACCACACGAGGGCTTTGAGAATGTCCAGAGCAAAGGTGCCAAGGCCGGTCGCAGGAAACGGGGACATGTGGAGGCCGTCACCCTGTTCGACGTGCTCACCATGGGCAGGAGTGCCATGCAGGTAAGGCTTGCTCACCCTCAAGTCCTTCTTTTTGTTTTTTCTGAGAAGCAATGCGGGAGACTTGCACAGAAGACGTGAGTTCATCTCTAATTCATAGTCAAAGAATGAATCATTCTGTTGGATGGTGTAAGTACACATTAATATTCCAGTTGTATTCGACTAATGAGCAGTTGCACCCAAGTCTGATAGTAAACACACTCGTTGACTCTGCGTGGCGTCTGAGCAGGCGGTGATTGGTGATTGGATCGAGGCTTACGGGACGCACAGAGACTCCTCCCTCCTCGACCTCATCAGCTTCTTCATCCAATGCTGCGGCTGCAAAGGCAAGCAGAGGACACACGCGCACGCACTCTTACATTACCAACAGGCGACTGCAGGCTGTCAAGTGAGGACGTCTGCCTCGGGTCACTCCTTATTACTTTAAAAACACTCAGGACATAAACAGCAGGCCTGTGTCTGTCCTAGGTGTGGTCACAGCAGAGATGTGTCAGGGCAAAGAAGACAGGGACGTCATGAGCAAGATGGTGGAGGAAGTGGATGAGGTAAGAGGTCTTCCTCCTCGGCGTCTTCCACTGTCTTTATGGAATCGGACGCTTTGTGCTATAACTGGACGTCTGCGTGTGTTCCAGGTTGCTGGTCTGCAGTATAAGAAGTTCTTGGCCTTTCCGTGGATCCTCACGGTCACGTGGCCCATGGACACAGTCAGTAGGACCTCCCTGCTTAAATGGAATTGTCCAGTTATTTGCATTTCTTCCTATTTCTTAAGTCATGCCTAAAACAGTTATTTAAACAAAAATAAATAATAATAATAAATTGTAGAGATACAAAAAAACAATAAATGAACACGGATAAACCCACTAATGACTATAAGTAAAACATTCAAACGAATAAACTAAGAAAAACATGCAAACCGAAAAAAAAGCCAAATAAATCAACAACAATAAAACTACTAATGAAAAGTACACAGACCTGAAAATACATTCAACACAGCTATAGAAACACCATTTAAAAAATATAAGCCAACCTGGCTGCTGAAATATGAATGCACCAAAAAGGTTCCTCATTTAGATCACATCATCAAATATTACGTAGCAAAATGTGGAGATGTATAATAATGACTCAAATCACATCTGTTCCCTGGGTAATCAGAGAATATGGACCCTCTTCATTCACAATCCCATTGGCTGTATTGAGCAGTGACACTGGAGGAGTAGGCGGGTTCTAGCCACCGTGATGGAATCAGGGCCCGCCGCCAATCACCACTTGACCGTGTCAGTACCACTTAATGCTGCTATGCTCTTCTTATCTGCTTGTTTCTTCATGGCGTACCCCGTGGCACTGAGGGGACACACTTTCTCTCCCCTGCTCCGTCCTCCATATGCAGAGCAGGTCCCCCTTGACCCTTGAGGATGACCAGCTTCTTTCTTTCTTTGCTTCTAACTGAACTGATATCCAATTGGCTTAAGCTCCAGAGTGATCTCTGACCCGTCCCAACATACTCCTCCACCTCAGGAAAGTAAAGACGCCCAATATCTAAGTGACTCTCCTCTAACCTTCAAGTAGTTGCAGCTGGTCTTCAGAGTGTCTGCTCTCTGCTCCCCCTCTACCCCCCCCCCCTCTGCAGGACAGTGGCGAGTATCCACTGACACAACCCGGACCGTACGGCCGCTGGTTCCACTCCGAGTTCTGCGACTTCATGGCCGTGCTCGTGGCTCAGTGTCAGCACAGCATTATATTTGACAGTTACCTGATGAACACCCTCATCTCTCTGCTCACCGAGCTGTCGGACTCCTACGTACGGGCTTTCAGACACACCTGCACGCTGGCAGGTGAGGAATGGACAGGTTGGGTTAGCCAATAGGGGAAGACTATGGGTGGGACCGCTCCCTCCTAGAAGTCTGGGTGCAGGGGCAAAGCCCATGAGAAAACAAAGTACAAGGAGAGCAAAGTAGGGGAAGAAAAGAGGGTGGACTATATTAATGCTCCCCGCTCTCTATCCATAAGTCCTTTTTATTCTTATTTATTTGTACTCATTTACTATTATTATTAGAGAACAGACACACACACACAAACTGACACAGAAACCCAATCAATAACTCTTTTTGCTTCGGCTGTGTCGTCTGGGACAAGCGGTGAAGCTGCTGAGCTCGCTGGTGGCCGTGTCTCTCAGCCTGAGCGTCGGCATTGAACACAGTCACAAGTTGTACCGGGCGCAGAAGACAAAGACGAGGAGACGGAGAAGCCCCCTGAAACAGGAGAGCATACAGAAGAAGATCACAGAGGTGAGACCGGCGTCACTCATCATCTGTGAAGGTGTTCATCTCCGCTCTCTAAGTCTCAACTCGTGCCCTTTGAAGCTGCGGGAGAAGAGGGCGGAGGTAGAGACCATGATGGATGTCGTCTTCAAAGGAATCTTCCTGAAAAGATATCGGTAAATGTTTCCTTGACACTATGGTTTCCAAGTGCATATAATTCAACTTAGAGCTGATTATTGTGCGTGTGTGCAGCGACGTGCTTCCAGAAATCCGCTCCCTCTGTATGGAGGAGTTGGGTGTGTGGATGAAGCTCTACAGTTCTGCATTTCTCAACGACAGCTACCTTAAGTACATGGGCTGGATGATGCACGACAAGGTAACCGGCACACAGCGCGTGGTTTAATGTGTCGTGACGCACGTAGTCTGGATCTCTCCGTGGATAAAAAGTCGTTCAGAATGTAGACTGTTGTGAAATCCGGCTTCCAGGTGCCTGATGTGCGTCTGAAGTGTGTGTTAGGCCTGCAGGCTTTGTACGGCGATCCTCCGCTCCTCCCGAAGCTGGACCTGTTCACCAGCCGCTTCAAGGTGAACCTTTCTGCTCGCATTCATAGATTATATAATAATTCATCATTTTATATAAAATAATTTAGGACCTACAAAAGTTGCATGGATTTACACATTCAGCAGACACAGTAGCTCAATTTGCTGCTAAATGTTTGATCGTCTATAAGTTTTCTTAAGGAGGCTACGATCAATATTTTCATAAGAATCATGTATGAAATGAGAATGTTAAAACAGTCACGAGGTGGGCCTTATAGCTTCACCTCGCTGTTACATCTTGGTCGGCCTGAACAGTTCAAACTAAACAATGAGCTTAAAGCAGGATTTCAAGAAGTGTGTGTTTTTGGACTTAAATCTAGAAAACGTCCTTTTTTGCGTTCAACAAAGCTGATTCAATGTCCCCGTCCACGATGGGACGAGCGCACGTTGAGGCCGACCTGTTTGCAGAGCTGCGCTCATGTTTGTTCTCCAGGACCGGATGATCTCCATGACCTTGGACAAGGACAACGAGGTGGCCGTGCAGACCATGAAACTGCTGCTCCTCGTCTCCAAGTGAGTCGCCAGCCGTCTCCACCCTTTCCCAATCCACTCCACCGCGCTTTCCTGCCACACCTCTCGGCATCAAACCGCCTCTGACCCCCCTCAGGACGTCTGATGGCGCGCTGAGTGCGGAGGACCGCCGGCAGCTGCTCCGGTTCGTCTACTCTTCGCAGCGGCCTCTCGCCGCCGCTGCGGGGGAGCTGCTCTTCGCGCGGTGCGTTCATCTCCGTCACTTGGAAAACAAAAAGTAAAGTCAATCCTTTCGTTTGGGGGTCAAAAGAGAAAAACATGACTGCTCTCTCTCTCTCTCTCTCTTTGTGTTAAGGCTTCTGAACACTGAAGCACCGGCGGCTGACACTGAAATCAACGATGAGGAGGCACGTGAGCGACAGGCGTCCGCCCGCCTCAGGGCTCTGCTGCACTTCCACCAGGAGTCCGAGGTGATTGAAACCGCCCTCGCCGCTTCCTCGCAAGCCTCCGGACATCGGGGCACGGGATGCGCTGACTTGTCCCCCTTGTCCTCCAGCTGCACAGCCATGTGGTGTACCTGGTGGACAGTCTGTGGGACAGCGGCGGCGCCCTGCTGAAGGACTGGCCCACGCTCACGTCTACTCTGCTGCAGGAGCCGTCCTCAGGCGGCCCCGGTGAGTGAGACGTGTACGTACGTGCGTTTCAGAGCGGCAGAGGACTTGCTCGACTTTCAATGATCCGGAAGATGCAATCGACCGACATAATGCAGGCGTTTCTTTTCTTGTTGTCTCCATGTAATGTTTTAAGTCTGTAAACCAAAGAAGTTTTCTAAATTTTCATTTAAATTGTAATTTGGGATTCAGTGTTTGATCCGTCTTCATGAATTATGACTAATGTGCTTGTTTTGCAGTAGTACATACCCACCATAGACATGGGGATAGACCTTCACAATTCACCTTTAGGGGGGGAGTCACATGCATTATGTCACAGGGGTCATCCCCTTGTGTGTGTGTGTGTGTGTGCGCAGGTCTTACCCGGGCAGAGCAGGCGCTGCTTGTGGAGATCCTTGTAGCTTCGGTGCGTCAGGCCTCGGAGGGGCCGGCGCTGGCAGGACGCAGCGGAGCCAAGAAGGTCAGTAGGGGGGGGGGGGGGGGGAGCTCCCTCATTGATGCACAAAGTATCAAGATCTCTTACATGAATACAAGTACCCATACAAAGATGTAACAGTCCTGAATATCAAAAGCAAATGAACTCATTCTGCAGAAAAACAGCCCTTCAAACAGAAATCAACTTAAATAATCAACATTAAGTGGCGAATACTAATGCAACAAATGCTTCAGCTGTTTGAGGTGAAGCTACATTAAAGTTACTGTAAGTAACTGCGACCCTTTTTAAGTAAACAGACCTGCAGTCGGAGCGCCGCCTAGAGGAGGAGAGCTCAGCAGCATCTCCTCCTCCTGCAGGAGCAGAGCTTTGCCTCGCTGCTCCTCTGCTGGCGGCCGACAACGGCACCACGCTGCTGGAGACCTGGCCTCAATTTCTTGGCCCGCTGGAGGGAAGGAAGGAACGGGAGCAGCAGAAGCAGGACAGAGGGGGGGAGGCTCGAGGACTTTGTTGCTTTGGACTTTTCTTAAATTCTTAAATTTATTGAGCGGAAATTGCTCATAACAAACCATAAAACAAACAGATTAGAAACCGCTGGTTGAATCTCAAAGGATTCGTAGTATTTTCTCATCTTATATGTTTTTACAAATGAAGTGGAGTTAAAAGCCTCTGACATGTAGTGGGGTCAACGTAGAAAGTAGCAGACACTGGGGTAAACTACGACTACCTCAAACTTGTTCTCATGTACAGTACTGGAGTAAAGATAATATAAGACCTGGTGACGGAATCAATGGAACACATTGAACATGTTCGATTGATGTTTGTGTGTCTGGCCTTTAGGTAACGAGTGCCAGGGAAAAGAAAAGCCAGCTGGATGACTGTACTAAGCTCACCGATCATCTTCTCGTGGTGCTTCCTGAGTTACTGGCTAAGGTATTTCTTTATTCCACATGTAACTGTCGGCGCGTTAGTTCCTTTGTTGCTGTATGAGGAACATTCATTCATTCAGCTGCGGGCTTTATATGATCATAGTGTTTGTGCAGTTTTCAGGTAGCTGTGACACGGTTGCCTCCCTGATGAAGATTCCTCAGTACTTCCTCCCGGAGGGTCCCGAGGCCGACAACACTCAGGTCTGTGATGAAGAGACGAGTGCAGTGACACGGCGCCTTCGTCTTTTTGAAATCAGTCAGTCATACAACATGTGACGCCCTGCTGGGCGGCAGACCGACCTACGTTACTCTGCTCTTCCTCAGGCAGCGTCGAGGCTGATGGCGGAAATGGGAGCCGCTTTGGACCGCCCCGCGGGCCCCGCGGGCCCCGCCCTTCTGGAGGCGGCGGCCCGCACGTTCCTCAGTCTGTGTGTGGGGGAGGCGTCCTGGTGCTCCGTGGCCCGGACCGCACGGCACTCCATGGTGGGGCGCTGGGTGGACCACCTGACAGCTCTGCTGGGGGACTCGCTCCAGGTGACCCACCACAGGGGCCCGTAGCATGAGTCTGAGTGTGTGTGTGTGTGTGTGTGTGTGTGTGTGTGTGTGTGTGTGTGTTGGACTTTTCCCCCTTCAGGCTGCGTTCACACTGCATGCAAAGTTGGTCCAAATCTGTTTCTTTTTTATATATTTACAGCTGAATCCGTCTTTATTTACCTATGCAACAGTGTGAGTAGCACCAGTAAGACCTTACTTTGCGTTGCAGGCTGAGAGTCCGCGTTTCTCTGCTGACGAAGAGAAAACTGCAGACATTTTAGCCACGTTGAAGAAACTCAGCGCTTTCCACAAGTAAGATTTCCCAGCTGCTCCAGCCTGCAGCCCCCCCCCCCCCCCCCTTTCGGGGGGGTTTAGTGGCTGTTTAAAAGTCGTCTCTCGGACTTCGTCAGCTGCCACGACCTCCTCGAGGGGAACCTGTTTGGGCTGTTGTCTCCCCTCCCGGCGGCGGAAAGCGGGGAGGGAGGAGCCCCCCCCGAGGTACCAGCGCTGCCTCCCTGAAATCATCAGTCTGTCCACCGTCTCCCTGTCTTAAGCGTCTCTTCCTCCGCCCACCTTATTGTCTGAAGGTGCTGCTGGAGGTCCTGCAGTGTCTGTCCTACTGCATGCTGTGGTCCCTCAGCAGCGGAACTTTAAACTCCAGAGTGAGTATCGGCTTTACTCTGAAAGAGTATGAACATATGAAGATTTAGAAATAGTCCCACTAGTCCACACAAAATATCATCAAAATAGGTGGTTGTGCTATCAGTAGCATTATGTATAAACAATATATTTGAAAAAAGTTCAAATGTACATTTTTCTGATTCACTCTACTGCATTTTTGTCTCATGCAAGCAGTGATTTTCAAATGATTATTTGAAACACCTATTATGAGCATTCATTTATCATTGAGAGTTGAGGATTTTATTTTGAAAGCAGAAACATCTTGCATTACAAATGTGTTTTCTCACTTCTTTTATTCCTGTGATATTGAGGTAAATATCGGTCTCAAACACAAGACATCTTAATGATGTCACCTCGGGCTCTGAGAAAAATATGGGCTTTTTTTGAGCGAATTGCAGACTCGTCTATTAGGAATTTGTTGACCAATTTGTCCCCTTTTTTTCATCCCAAAACTAATTGTACATATTAATAGGCACAACGTGGCACTATTTGTCCCTTCTCTGTGTGTGTTTGTGTGTTTTAGGAGACAGCGGAGTCCCAGAGACTCCAGCTGCGTCTCTTCTGTGAGAGGAGTAATCGCTGTCTCTCCCACCCCGACCACGGCGTGCAACAGCAGGTGAATCAATAGCAGCCACGTCCTTTTTTCTTTTTCCTCACCTCCTCTACAGCCTCCTCTCTTTATTTCTCCTGCACGTCAGGCCTTCGTCGGTGTGTGCGACGTGCTGACGGCTCACGCCCGCCAGCGACAGGTGTGGGATCCCTCCTCCTTCGGCCCTCTGCTCTACACTCCCGGCCCCAAGCTGCAGAGGGCGCTGGTGGCCTTCGTCTGCGCACGCGTCTTCGTGGGACCCGACTGTGGCGGCCGGAGCGCCGGTGAGACCCAAATCGGTTCATTCAGCCACCCAACCCTCATGCACATACGGCAGTCTCGTTACTCCACTGGGACGTTTGTCAGCACGGTGGAGAGGTGATAAAAGGAGGGTGGGGGGGTGACGGGCGAATGGTCCAGTGAGTGAAGATTCACTTGTCATCCCTACTTGGGTATCGTACAAGCTGCAAAATGTACTTCAGGGCTCATTATGAGGAGACACGTCCCCAGTGGGAGACATTCACTGTCCCGAGCTGGTTAAGGTCAGTCTAGTTGTAGCTACCTCTTCACCATAGCAAGCACAAAAGTGCATTTAAAAGCCCCCGCAGAGAGTCACAAGGTGAATCTGACGGGGAGGAGATTAAATACGCTATTCTTTGCTTCTTTTTATGAACTAATTAATTTGGTTTGGTTGCCGAACAGTTTCCAGAAGTCAACAGTTGGGCCTAAAAAGTGCGGAAAGTGCTATTTAACAATAGGCCAACTAACTTAATCTGCGTACTCACAACTGCAGCTGATGAGTGAGTAAGAATTATAATGTGGCATGAAATGACAATACAGGAGGAAACGAGGAGCTCTGCTTTGCAGTTGAAGAGGTTGAACTAAGATAAACGCGTTGACCTGCCTGTTTAGGGGGACGTTTGCAGAGCGGCGTGTTTGAGTGTTTCACTCAGCAGATGGCGCTCTCACTCTGTCCGAGCTCGGCAGTCTTGTTCTTCAGCGCAGCGGCTCCCCGCGGTGATAAAGAGCAACAGCCATGCAGATATTAAAAGTTCCCAGCCTCACGTTTGCAACCGTAAATTACCCCGTTTACAACGTCAGGACCGAAACCGGCTGCTCTCAGACTTTGCAGTGCAAAGGAATGCAGCTTGTCAAGTTGATGATGTTCCTGCCCGTTCCAAAAAAATAAGTAAAACATGATTGACGTGTTGGAAACACGCACTGTTTTCTTTGTGAAGTCCTGCAGGTAAATTATTTAATACACTCGAGGCTGACTGTAACTACTACATTGCATTATCTTTACAATATCTTCTGCTTCCAGAGGCATATTGCATCCAAATATGGGATGGTCCGGAGAAGGCAATAGCGGTTTCCTGGTGGGAATCCTTTAAACGTTCAACCAAATACAATACAGGATTATTGGTTTTTGAACATGCAATAAAAGAGCTATTGTTTTATTGGATTTGCCTGGTTATACAGACAGTGTTTTCTATTAGCTGCTGGATCACAGATCACTCGGAGGGCAAGGCCACTGAGTTAAATCATAAAATCAGGGGCAATCTCTTTCCGTGAGAAAATTCCATTAACTCCGGCTCACCTCTGAGCCCATTTTATTAGCCTCGTGAAAGATTGAAGCCACATGGTGTCACAAACGTAACTCCAGCCTCATGTTGTTATCTTTGATTTGCACCTGCTAAAGCCATCGTCCTCATAACTAACCGCAGCGCTCAGCTTTGTTCTTTTCTCCACTGTTATATTATTTCTCGCGATTAATCACCCCCCCCCTCCCCCCCATCTCCCCATCGGCCCCCTCATCCCCCCGTCCGGCTCACTTCGGTGAAGACTCTGAAGCCGAGAGGCTTGAGGAACTTCACAGACGAAGGAATCTGCTGGCGGCCTTCTGCAAGCTGATCGTGCACGGGGTGCTGGAGATGAGCACAGCCGCCGAGGTCTTCATGTACTACATGAAGGTAAACGTGGACCTGAAGTAAAAGTATCTTTCTGGGAGGAAATGTGTGTTATGTTTCCCGCCAAAAAGAGGCAAGAAGATATAGACAATAGGCAGCAGCCGGTTAGCTTAGCTTAGCGTAAAGTTTAAAAACTAAATCTGTCCCCGTGACGCGCGGGGAGGTTCATGGGAGGTTTGGACTCTTTCAAAGTCAGATTCACAAATATATGAATTCCACAGAGTGGCATAAATTCACCATTCAACTGGCTGCTTGCAACTTGACTACTGGTCATGTTTCCCGTATGTATATTCTTATCATTAAAAAAATGTTTTCAACCATTTCATAGGGATACAAACTGGGATACAAAAAGAAGAGCAACAATTTCAATTGTTGAAATTGTGCAATTTCATCAAATAAGCCAATTTACAACTTGTTATAGATAAGTGCCATTATAGGGCTGCCCTATTTATTTTTGTCGTGGACGGCAGTGCAGCAGTGCATGCATGGCGGACGGTACAGCAGTGCATGCATGGAGGACGGTACAGCAGTGCATGCATGGAGGACGGTACAGCAGTGCATGCATGGAGGACGGTACAGCAGTGTATGCATGGTGGACGGTACAGCAGTGCATGCATGGTGGACGGTACAGCAGTGTATGCATGGTGGACGGTACAGCAGTGCATGCATGGAGGACGGTACAGCAGTGTATGCATGGTGGACGGTACAGCAGTGTATGCATGGTGGACGGTACAGCAGTGCATGCATGGTGGACGGTACAGCAGTGTATGCATGGTGGACGGTACAGCAGTGCATGCATGGTGGACGGTACAGCAGTGCATGCATGGCGGACGGTACAGCAGTGCATGCATGGCGGACGGTACAGCAGTGCAGAGCAAAATCACAAAAAATGACAACTAAAAGGAAAAAAAAAAATTCTTGATGCTAAGCTAAGCTTTGTGGCTGCTTCTTAATTCAATTCAACGCGGCGGCATCTGGGAAGTGGTACGAACCGTTGAATCACACTTTGGGCCGGGAATTCTTCCGATCTCTGTCCTCAGTACAACGACGACTTTGGAGACATCATCAAGGAGACAATGAACCGGACAAGACAGATGGATAAGCTCGGCAGCGCTCACACACTGGTGCTCTGTCTGCAGCAGGTACTGTCGCCTCCTGCACATCCTCTAATATAAGCTAGCCGCTTCTAGCTGCTGCTAACGCGCGTTCGTGTCCCATGTCTCTGTCCTAAGCTGTTCCTCCGTCTGAAGCGGGAGCAGGGCAGCGGCGGCGAGGCCCACCCGGAAGTCCAGAGCTTCGCCAGCATCAAGGAGCTCGCCAGGCGGTTCGCCCTCACCTTTGGGGAGCTCGTCAAGTTCCGCGAGTGCATCGTTGTGGTCCACAGGTGAGCTCTCGCTTGTTGTTACCTTAAATAGGTTTTTGTTTTTTTGTTCTTAAAAAGTTTCCGCGTCTTCTTTGTGCGTCAACATTTTGCAGGAACGGCATCGAGTTTGTGTTCCAGGAGTTCAGTCAGACCCCGGACGCCCCAACGCCGCCGTACCTCTCCTACCTCACCATCCTCGGCGAGTTCTCCAGCAAACTCCTCAAACCGGACAAGAAGATAGTGTGAGTGCCGCGTGGAACGTAACGCCGTCACCAACGTGCGCAATGTGTCCCAAAGCTTTGCTTTCTGAAAGTGGTGTTGTGGGTCCGGGCAGCTTCTCGTACCTACAGAAGCACACCGGGGGGCTCGCCATTGACCTCCGGGAGGAGTGCTGGCAGCCGCTGGCCTGCTACCGCGCGTCCCTGCTGGCTGCGGCGGGAGGGGAGGACGCCGTGTCTCACGTGAGCTCCGACGGGGGGGCGCACCCGCCCGGTCGCTCCCCCTCCTCCAAGCAGAAGCGCGAAGGTGCTGCAACCTCGACAACCAAATCAAGCAACTATAGTTAACAGCTGCTTCATTAATGTGTGTTTTAAAAAAAAAAATGTCTTTTTAGAAAACAAGGCGCCCTGCCCGTTCAGCCCCATCGACTCCGAAGTCAGCAAAGGTCAAAGGTCAAGCTTCAGTCCAAGGTGAACGACGCATTCATTTCATAAACCGGTGCAAATCTCCACCTGGCTCACGCTAATTAGTCATCCAACCCCTTTAGCCACAAGGACGCGGATCCGTCCTCCTCCTCCGTCCGCGCCGAGCCTCCTGCAAGGCGGTTGGACTTTGAGGGCTCCGTCCAAAGCACGGGCGAGGACACTGTGGACGTTGAGCTGTAACTGCAGGAGGCCGGAGGACAATCTGCGGTCTCCGTAACGATGTGCAGACGTACCAGCGGCCATCGCCCTTTCTACAATATTGAAAAAATGGTTTTAAAAGAAGTCTGCGATATTCTTATTGTAAACTAATCCCAAGAAAAAACCAAAACCAGCCAGAATTGACTGATCCACATTTCAACTGTATAGAGCTTTTCTAGTCTTCCAACCACTCAAAGCGCTTTAACACTACATGACATCATTCACTACCACACACCTGCTCACCAGTAACTAACATTCACGCACTGTAGCAGGAGAACGTTGGGTTAAGTCTCCTGCCCAAGGACACATCGACACGCGGGTTAGCCGTGATCGACCCGCCAACCCTCTGATGGGAGGCCCACCGTGCTCCCCACTCACCCAGTCGCCCCATTGTTCCTGCTTGCACACACTTCAAACTGTTGCTGGGAAAGTATTAAAAACACTTGTCTCACTGGGCGACACCTGTGAATCCTACAATAGAATTAACATGGGAACTATAGTTCACTTTGAATCAATTCATTGTCCAGCTGCTGCTACTCCCGACCACAGCACCAGATACGTATTAATCCACAGAGGAAAATAGTTCCCAACACACAAGTTTGAGCAGTATTTACTAAAAAAGTGAGTAGCCTATATTGGAAAAATAAATATAAAGTCAGCTACATATTTCTCTTAAGTGTTGTCAGATTTGACATTTTCAGTAGAAATCTATGGCGATTTCGTCATGGGATTCGGAAACAAAGACCTACACAGAATATCCGTATCATTCAAATAATGTCAGAGTATCTAGTATATTTCATTCACAGACCAGCTTCATTTGAGGACCAAGTGAATCAGAATGTATAAAGCTTCCCTCCATATTCACTTCCATACATACAAAGTGTTACATCATTTTACGTTTGGATCCCATTCAAATCCAACATTTGTCTAATTATATTTTTGAATAATTTAATTTTTGCTTTATGTCCTGCGTGCCACTTTATTATTGCTCCTTATAGAATAAGGTTGAGTTGGTTTGCCAAAAAATGTATTGCTGTAAATTAATTGAAATAAATAAAAAATCAAGGAATGAAAACTAACACATGTTGCCAGGCTGTAACACATTTTTTCACATTTTAATATCCTTCCCGTGGTTTTCAGTGGACAGATCAAACACGTTTTTACAAGATGGATGAAATGAAACGGCACCTTCCTGTACTCATTAACCAAGACTTTATTATTAATTTAAAGAAAAGCACAACATTTTAAAATTGGTTCCTTTTGTTCTGTCAAAAGTACATTCAAAGGAAGTACTTGATAACATAGAAAAAAACGAATTTGTTGTAAAACATTTTCTCAAATCATTTACAACACAGCAAGCACCAAATAAATATTTACAGTTATTTATAAATCCATCTCTAATAATTTAATGGTAAACCCATCTCACACATCCAGTAAATCTATCATAATGAGTCCAGACCTGTACAATATACAGAGTGTGTGTGTGTGTGTGTGTGAGGGGGGGGGGCAGTCTGTGTGCAGCAGGCTCATCGTGGCTTGTTTGGCATTTACACCCGCTCCTCGCTCCAACAGATAACCGTGAATGAATCTGACGGATTGTAGAAACCTTTTCCGTTGGCATCGCTGGAATGTGACATTAGCCAATAGCGCCAAAGTTCAAAAAGCTGAATCTACTTTTGTTCCTGCCCAACGATCCAGGGAGCTCCTCTGTGATGAAGCGCGTGTGAATGTGGTCACACGGCACCGATGTGGGAGAGTCACACTCGCCCAGAACATTGATACAAAGTGACTTTATGGGGGTGAAGCGACGGCCTGCTCGTGACATCGGGGAGTCGACTGTGAGGCGTCTTTAAGTGGGACGGGTGAGAATAAAACATCTCCGCCAGATGTTTGATGCGGTGTCCATCAGACAGCGGTGGAGGGAGGAGACGGTCACTCAAAGTCCTCTTCGTACTCGTATTCATCCAGGTCCAGGTTGCAGTGCGGACTGGGGATGGCAAAGAAGTGTCTCTTTGTGGGACCGAGCTCAGGGGAGATGTGCTGCCCCAAGGAGCTCAAAGGATTATCCAACCTAAACGGACACACGGAGGACAGCGTCAGGGACATGGACACAGGAGCACTGCGTTAAAGAAATAGTTTGACATCCGGATAAATGCATATTCAACTGGTTAGCTTAGCTCAAAGACTGGAAACAGCTGGACCCACTGTGTTTGAAAAGTAACACCTAATGAAACCTTTAAAGAGGATTAACAAAACTAAAGTGTAGCAGCAAAAACTTAGCTGGTTGCTTGGCAACCTCAAGGTAAGAATCCAGGACATCAATTTTCTGATTAATAGGAGTTTGAGTGGTGACGATCTTTATTCGGAGTTTCGGCAACAAAAGGAGAAAAATCTAAGTTCCTAAATTGTCAAACTATTCCTTGAAAGAGACAGAAGACGGTGCACTGGAGGGTACAAAGGACCAACACACAAGGGGACGGACAGAGACGGTGCAGGCAGCACAGATTTGTCCTTTTCTTAGAGGACGTAAAGTTAAAACCAGAACCCGTGCGGTGCAAAACAGACTCCCAGCTCTAAGACGCAGCCTCTTCCAGGTCGGCCAAACAACTGCCCGGATGGGCCTGGAAGGTTGGCGGGGGCGAGTTGAGGCTAGGAGTGGGTTTGGGAATGGACCCGGAGAGAAGGAGTACGAGAACACTTTGTCCCTGCTGGTACCCTCAGTGTCTTACCTGCTCTGGTTAGCAGCTTGTCTTTAGGAGTCGGTGGAGCTCCTAAAACTGCCACACAACATTTCCGTCAGCATGCTGGCCTCCCTCCAAGGGGCCCCGCTGCTAACACGTGGCCCCCGTGCTAACTCAACCCTGCCTGGCTACACAACCGACTCCTAGCAGCTGCGAAAAGGGCCACGTACAAGGTACAATATGAAGTTGTCGTTAAGCTCACTATTAAGAGAGTCTTTTAAATTCAAGTTGTAAGAAATATAATGAATTAACACAGCGTTGTGTTTGCATCCCGCTGATCAAAGAGGGAAACTTACGCGTCGTTGCACTGATCGTTGGCGGCCTCCTCGGCCACCAGGATGTCATACTCCTCCGCAGCATATTTCTCCCAGTCCGTCACCTCCTGTCCGTCCGTCTCCAGCTCCTGTAAAAACGCAGCGGGTCACGTGACCCCCTTTGGCAGGGAAACAAGTCACGGTGCTCTCCCACACGTGTGGTGACCTTACTCGTATGCTAGAGAAGGGGTCCTTCTGCTCGTGGTCCAGGTACTTCTCGATGTTGAAGAAGGTGTCGAAGAAGATGTGGGACAACTTGCACCGTTTGAGGTCCCGCAGAGTGATCTTACCTGGACAGGAGGGAATGGGGACAGGCGTGTTATTGAACTACTCCGTAACTATGTCACGTAAGTCAAAGTGCAGAATGGCAGGGCCACAATTTCTCTAAACAGGTTTCCCTTTTATTAAATATTTATCCGTCAATCATTTGTATCAATTAACTGACACATCTTGTCTCTAAAATGTCAGCATCTCCAAAATAATTTTGGTATTCTATTTATAACGATGTGAGAAGAGATGAGCAGCACACTTTCAGATTTGAAATGGATGCTAATCCAAATAAATCTATTCCCTCTAACGGAGTGTGATCTGGATAAACGGAGCTGATTTTAAACCAGCGTAACCGTCTCATGCAGCTGCATAAAACGCTCGGGGCTACGAACAGCAAAATCACATCTGGAACCTCCCAGCCAGCTCTCACAAACCTATCCAATAGGCCTTACGATACGACCAATGTGCCTTCAAAGTCATGCCCACAATCTTAAAATCAACTGTAAACCCAACGTACAGAAAGTGATTTCCACAACCAGAAAAGGGGAATTTCTATCGAGAGAATTAAGTTCAGTAATCCACGACATTCAGCGCATTCTGTGGTCTGTTTGAGAGAACGGCTCCAGACTGGTCTGATCAGCGTTTTACGTCTTCATCTACAGCGAGTGCTGAAGCTCACGTGTCTGTGCATCTTTGGGGAAACATTGGCCTGAAATAAGAAGTTGTTGCATCTCATGTTACACGGCTCCTCCAGCACAGCGTTCCAGCAGGTTGACCGAGGGTCACATTGCTGCTGAGGCGATCGATACCAAACATGCGATCCCTCTCTGTGGACCAGTGTCTCCTAAATCAGGGCTCCGGTGGTTGGGAACCTCTGTTCTAAATGGGACGGGGGATAAAGCTGGAGGGGATTTGACCGTGTGGATGACACCAAACAGCTGGCATCAGTCCGTCTCTCATCTGGATCGTTTGTATCGGTCTGTCACGGTCTTAAAAAAACAGAACCCGTTAGGACTTTCCAGCGCGAGTGGGAACTCCCGAGAGGCGTGCGTGAATGTTAAAACGGGTCTGACCTTCGACCTCGGGTTTGACAAGGTCAAGCATTTGGCAGAGGCAGTCCTCGAAGGGAAGGGGCTCGATGGCCATGGTCTCCAGCCTCTGGCACTGATCCTCGTAGAAGTATTCCAGCTCGTACATGCTGAGCACGCCGTCCCCGTCCAGGTCCATGCAGCGGAACCAGTACTCTATACTGGAGGCGGGCAGAGGGAACGTGTGAGTGAAGGCGGCTCGGAGGGGACAGAAGATGCGATCGATGGGAGGGGGACGGGGCGGGAGGGAGTACGTCCACCAACCTGGTGTCGGTCTTCTTGTCTTCCTCAGAAATGAGGAACCAGACGAAGTCGGCGTAACTCAGCCGCCCCTCTTTGTGCACCTTTCTGTCTCTGACGGAGCAAACCTCACGGTCACTACGGAAATGTGTATTTTTGTAAATTGAAAGCAGAGCGTAGAGTTTTTGCTTACCTTGTTACAGTTCCTGAGAATAGTCTCTCAATCATCTTGTTGGAGATCGCTGGAAAAACCATTATAAAAATATAATTCAGAATCCAGACTTTTGGAAATACGGTTGTCTCAGAAGAGCTCCGCTAGCCTACAACTTATTCACAATCCATTCTCACAGACTATAAATCCCCACCGGCTAGTGTCAGCTCTCCTGTTTTTTTTTTTTTTTTAAAAGCATGACAATGCTATAAATCCACCGGTCATCATTTTGACCGTAGAGTAGTGGAAATTGTTCCAGATGTGGCGTCATCCAGACAGAGTATAAATGCTGCGCTCTTATTGATCTTATGTCTCATTTCCCTTCTCTCACTCACGGGCCATCAACCAAGAACATGTGGCGGTGAGTGTGTGGGGACGAAGCGCCAGAGACGGGTCTTATCAGCGCGTTTGGGTGCGAGCAGTAAAAGAAAAAACAGGACCCAGTAACATTTAAATATGCTTTTTTTATATTTTCATGTGATTTCAGACTGTGCTCCTTTATTGTTGGAACTTTGTGTGTGTGGTTACAATACACATCCTGCAGATTGTGGTCTTTTTGTGCGCACCTTGGTCGTTGTGCTGTTCCAGGTCCTTCTGGTCTATGTAGAGGTCGTGGTCGGTGTCCAGCTCCCAGAACTTGCAGTAGATAACGTAGAAATGTTCATAGGAGAAGAACTCGGTCAGCTGGTTCACATCTTGTTCCTGCTCCAGCAACGCCAAATTCTGGGAGAGAAGAAAAAGAAAAGAAAAAGGTTACGGCTACAAAAAGAGGTAATTATTTATGATTAATAGACATTTGATTTTGGCCAAATGGCTCAGGTGGTTTAAATAATGTCTTACATTTTATATTTTATTTAACATCAGACAAAGAAAGACGTCTGTCCCTGCAGTCACATACCTGAAGAAAGTTACTTTTCCTGAGCTCAGAACACGTTATCTTTCCAGTCCATGAGCGGTTCACGTTGTAGAATATCCTCTGAATCACCTGTGGAAACAGTCGACATGAACGCGGTGCTGCTGTAATGTGTCCCGGTTCATTTTCCAGTAGTACGGTGCAGTTATCTGCGTGGTGGCGGCGTACCGTGGTGATGTATCGCGAGTGGAAGTCCGGCGCCTCCTTTAGGAAGGCCAGGCCTGCGTGGGAGTTCACCACATCCTGGGAAGACAAAGCAAAGTCGGCTCACGATGTCTGCCTCATTTCCATACCAAACCACTCGGAAGAAGCAGACGCAAATGCAAGAGGACAACGCCGTGGCATGCCGCGCCTACAACCATAACCGACACACAAGCTCAGACGGATTCTGCAGACGCTTTCGGAGATGAGTCAAATGGCGACGCACATTCGACGTTCTCCGTTTTTGGAGCCCATGACAATCAGAGCAGCCACTTAAATGAATGCTTACTCAGACATTCAGAGATGTCGGCGTCTATCTGCGTCACTCGGTCGTGCCATATGCTTTCGAAATTGTGCAATGGAAAGAAGAAAAGGGCTCTGGGCTTTGTTGACAGAGGCCCCCCCATTTGGATGTGTCTTTGAAGGCGCAGAGCGCTGGGTGGACCGGTTCCGTGATGAGCTGAAGAGCCTGTTCCTGATTCCGCAGCGAAGCGGTGGGGCGGCCAGAAGAGGAGACTTCCACCGGTGACAGCTCTGAACATTCTCTCCTTCCGCGTGCCAAACAGGCACAGGGGGTGTGCTGCATTTCAAATGAACTGGAGCGATATTCTTGCTATGAACCCCCCCACCCCCCCCTCTGCTGGGTGGACGGGGTGGGAGGGGGGGCGATTGTTGACACAAATACGAAGGCGGCAATGAAATTAAAAGGCCTCATTTCAGGGCTGCCGTGCCTCCTTGACTCTTAGTGTGAGAAATTAAATCATAGAGAAACACATAAATCACACGGCACAGGAAACAGGGGGGGACAGTCAGATCTACTCTACAGCAATCCGCCTTTCATTCATCAAAACAGTCAAAGGCCATTCGCCGAGCAGCGACCATACAAATTAAACGCCGGCTGCCAAAAGGCATCTATGCGGCGCGCTAACGGCTACTTGGTCCCGCTCCTGCCGGCACGAAAATTAGTCAGGTGGTGGGGTGGGGGGGGGGCTGGCTGTGTGCTGTAATGTGTGTATCACATTCACATCTCCATCCCTCCATGGAGGAAAACCTCCTCAGAGGATACTCCTCCACTATGTATGTCTCCACTCGGTTACCGGCTTACGGTAACATCCTGGAATTGGTCCGGCACCACATGAAAAAGCAGCGCTTCGAGCACGGCGGTCTTAGAATTAATTCCAGTTTGCACTACCCGAGCCAACGAAATTCTCCCGTGCCGGCTCAAGCCAAGTCCCGCCCTCTCCCTGGGTGTGCTGCAGCCAGTACCTGCAGGAATGGAATAAGGTCGTCTTGTTCCAGGTATTTACAGCCAGGCTTGGCCAGGAGGTGCACGAATTTAGAAGCGTCGTCGTGACAGGTCTGCAGAGTTCTGGGGGAGAAAAGAGAGAACAGATGGTTACCTCCTCTTTCTGCTCTCGTGTTCGCTCCATTATTCTTTATCCTGCTGTCATGGAAATAAGTCTGACAGGACTTGAGTGCAAGTGCAGGTTCAGATTCTGAAATGAGGAATCGCCGTGTTGTGGCCTCTCGTCTAAGAATGGCGCAGTCATGAGCTCAAGCCAAAAGGCCAGCTCTGTCCGCTTCTCTCGAAGCAGTAGCATTAATACAAGAGCGTGCCTATTGCATCCAACGCCACTCGCGCCCCCAGCTAAGAGCACAGCCGGCGCTACAAAAGCCCCGTGGCGCTCCTTACAATTCGACACAGAGCAATACTGGAGTACTGTGAGCATTTGTGAGGTCTTTGTGATCTGTGATTTCTGACTGCGACTCAGAAGAACAATGTCCCGATCAAGGGGTGCTCCTTGTTCAAAGGGGGATTGTGCGAGCCGCTTGTACGAGAGAATAACAAGAGCCATTGTCTTACTTCCTCCACATAGCCACGAACTTGTGAACGGACACGAAGCCGGTCCTGTCGCCTCCAGCCAGGCAGAACAATGGCATTTTCCAGTAGAGGGGGCACTCACAGGCCTGTGGAGACAAAAAAGCACAAGAGTTGGGTGAAGAGTGCGGTGTGGATGAGGAGAAAAGAAGGGGAAGTGCCACGGTTTGTTTTGACGAGCATTGTTGCATCACATAAAGCCCCAGAGGAACTCCAGCTGTCACTTCACCCTCCACTCGGGTTCCTCTCGAGCCCGTCGATCACATTCCTCAGGGAGATCAGGTTTTCCAAAGAGGTTCAGTACCAGCAAACATCGGTTAGATCTGGGAGTGAAAATGCTGCACCCCTACGCTCCCAATCACAGTCTCACCTTGGCGACCTTCCCCATGTCCTCAATGGTGGCCCTTTCATTTGGGAATTGGGAAAATATTTTCTCAATTTTGGAAATGAGGCTGTCGACGTTGACGTTGGCCTGGGGCCGGCCCTGTGGGAAGTAGAACTTTGGAATGCTTTCACTCAGCGCTGTGGTGACGGGCTCCTGCGTCCTCACCTGGGCCTGAGACCAAAAACACAGAAATACAGGGTGAGCCGCCGGCGCTAGCGGAGGCTAACGCCTCACCGCTCAAGCATTCCAGCGTGCGCGGAGGACACACACTCCACATTGATGGCACGACGACCACAATCAGCGATAGTAGCGATCCTTATTATGCATTTTTATGTAATCCTTCATTATATTAAGAGATTGTCAGTCCGAATGAGACAAATTAACACGGGTAAAGGGACAATAATAGTCATAGACATAAAGGGTTCTATAGAAAACACACAATATTTAAATATGGTACAGTAGTAGTGCATTTGTATTTGATACACAAGCATTTCAACATACACAAATATATGACTTATTGTATTGAGTATTGGTTGTTCGTTATTACTGAGAACTATTGTTGTATCAAGGCTTCGCTCTCTAACCGCACGCTGTGTTTACCAGACCAATATTTACAATTGTCAGTTGAGGTTTTATTTAAATCCTCGAGTAGCGGCGCCCGCGTTAATACGTTTGGAAACGATATGTTCTATAAACACTGACAGGTTCATTAATAAGCACAACATCTTTGTAATGCTTTGGTCAATTAAAGTCCCAGCAGACATGTTGACACCATAGATAACATTGCTGATGACTCAAGTATTCCAGTTAACCACAACTCAAGAACAGACGCACCCCAACAAATACTGACATTGGTATTGGCATGTGGTATTCATTCAACCTTTGTCTCGTCTGCTATGCACGTCCTACACGTTAAAAATAAGTCTTCTCTAATGGACGACCCCGCTGAAGGCATCATAAAGCATCACTGTGTTTGAAAAGAGCACCTGATTGCAGGTAAATAGCAGACAGTTCGACTGTCAATGACAGCTGTGGAAATAGATCAGGGTTGGGCAGGATGCATGTGTGTGTGTGTGGGGGGGGGGGCGGGGTATGAAAGTATGAGTTTAGCGTATTTTCTCTGTGAGTCATTACGCAGGCCCAAAATAATAGCTTTGTACGAGTTGTGCTGTGGTGGCTCAACACGGAGTAATAACAACGTTACAATGCATGCCCATGCCTTGACGTAAAAATACATTGTGTTCCAAAACCAGTGGGATTTAGTGGACCCGGCGAAGCGAAGCGGACACACCGGGAGGAGATCGTGTTCACTGATAACTTGCTGACATGGGCTTGTGAAGCCACACACTCAACAAACCGGACTTCAAAATGTGTTATGTTGCACATGACAACCAAACACCATCTTGTTGTTATTTGGTCTGACGCATTCTTAACAATGCTTTTCTAGTCTAGCTAAACCACCACGACAGCCTCAATATTATAATCGCAGAGCCTAAAGGGGCCAAACCGAGGCTTATCCATTTCTGCAAGATAAGTGTCCTCACTGACTGAAGGGCTGTACTCTGCCTCTGGTAATCTGCTCCTTTCAACCTGAGAGACGCCGAACGCTGCAGCTCCTCCGCTGTCCTCTGTGCTGTGTGTTGGTGTCAGCCATGGCTATAAAAGGACATACACATCTCCCGTCCCCCCCCCCCCCCCCCTCGCCCCGGGACAGTCCGCTCTACGCTAACCGCTAGCAGAGCTCAAGAGCACAGCCGCTAAGCCCTGTGACATTTTGCACGCTCAAGGCGTTGTGTCCTGGAACAGGACGGTAAAGCGGCCCAACACAACATACCACACAGGATGAATCGCCCCCCCCCGACAAGCATGGCTCACATTTCTTGCCACAAATGAGAAATACCCTGACCACAAAGCACCCTTTAAGAAGTGGACGGGGCCGCACATCGATCACATCGTTCCCGGCAATGTGTGTGAGCTAATTGATGAAAGCCGCGTGGGGAAAGTGATGGAACTCATTTGTCCTCCATGTGCAGCTTCCTCCCACAACCCCTCTAGTACCAATTCATAAAGATGGAATAAGCAGAATTAATGTTATTCTTATTGGAACTTTCACACAGCTCAACACTCCACACATGGAGCCCACAAATACCAGTCCACATAATGGGAGCTGCCGGCAGAGCAGAAAAAGCCTGTGGCAGTCAACACTCAACACCTGCCTGTCCTTGCTGGAAGGCTCTGAGCCTCTTCTTGAACCGAGAGGGCAGAACAAAGTCACAGCCGCGGGACAGCAGGGCCAACTCCTTCCTCAGGTCCGGGTCCTGACGCAAAGACAGCTCCCTCATCCTCATCCTCGCTTCGGACAGGAGGAGGTAGACATGTACACGCGCAGAACACCACCCTCAACGCGCCGGTGTCCTCTCGACCGCCCCAAATCGCCCGGTGCCAGTGAGCGCTGTGAGCAGAGGGGCATCGGCGGTGGTGCGAGTCCTCTGTGTCCCTGTGGTTGTCCTCTGTCAGAGAGGGAGCCTCTTAATGCGAGGGGAGCAGCTGCTACTGTGACTCTCTCCCTCCCATTCCAGATCTGGTCCGGCTCTGCCCGCCGCCGCTGCTGTTGCTGCTCGATCTCAGTCCCTACACAACAGGCACATACGTGCGCACACACACACACGCGCACAGGGCCACTCACAGCTGGTGGGGAGATAAGAGGCGGCGGGGTGTTTGTGTGTGGGAGTCACTTAGTGTTGGTTGGATGGGAGGGGTGAGTGCAATGGATCTGCCCTTTCCAGTTTGCATTCCTCGGCGCTCGTGGAAGGTTATGCAAAGAGACAGACCTGTTGTTGAGGCCGAAGGAGGGATGCGCCTCAGCGCCGCCGCGACACGCCACCCGCGTTCACTGGCCTTTTTTGTGAAAAGCTCCCACACGGACAAATACCGTGCTTGTGCTGTGAGGCCTACGGACCCCCCCCCCCCATGTTACACACTAGAGACAGACGTTGATGGGGGGAGGGGGAATTCAAAATAAAACCCCTGATGGAATATCATTTCAGCCACATGCTAATTCTGCCTACATCTGTCAGCAAGTGTGAATCACAAGAACAACAGGCGGACACATTACACTTAATGAGGCTTTGGCAAAAAAATCCACCGTATGACTGCAAAACAGATAACAAGAGGTCAAATAGGTCTACTTTATACAACTATTCTACATCTTATTTTATAGCAGTCTTTGTTTTGCCTTCCCTTTGCCAGCCTGGGCTGCCAGCCATTCCACGTCTTATTATAGTTGATGGGCAAAATATGGGGGAGGGCGGACACACACACACACACACACACACACACACACACACACACGCACAAACGCACACACAAATTCAAAGAATGATGACCTAGTCTGGTTCTATTAAAAGCACCAGTAGGGACTATTTGGGCAACTCAAGAAACTGGACCTGAAAAACAAAGAAGCATCTTTAGTCGTCAAACAAACATCCGCTTCCGGTCGCTCGTGTCCCGCAGTGACGGCAATTACACCAATTCTCCACGGAGACGCTGATCTAAGAGCTCCGGGGTCGCATTGGCAGCACCAGGGTGCTGATGTAGGAGTTGATTGCACAGACATGGTACAGAGATGTCCACACCAGCAGACTGTCAGTACACCCATGTTTTCTGTAATGTTATTGTAGTTTCACAACGCCCATATTATTTTTAGATGACAGGATCACAGAGTGGACAGTTTTCCACGGTTCCTGTTGTCGTCCACGCAGGACTCTGCACGTGCTTGATAAGCTGTCGGTAGGATGCCGCCTTTTGTTCGTGCTCATCACTTCACACCAAACGTGGAACAGGAGAGCACAAAGGTCCAAACGCTGGTAAGTCACGGCTGTAAAACTCACATGGAATAAAGCGCCGCAAACAACATACATTTGTTTCACAACACAACAAGGACAATAATGTTTGTTTACGTGGCGCTGTACTGTCTTGGGAGGGAGGAGCGCCCCCCTTGTTCAACGGCAGGGAAACACTGACTAACCAGTGTTGACTCTGAAGGAACCAGCTACCCGTCAGACGGACTGCTGGAGCATTATGTCCCCAACGCAGACCGACCCCGGACGCCTAACCTTGGAAACTTGTTGCTCCGATTTCTACAGACACATTTGTCCAGTCGTGTCCTCCTATTAAAGAACACAGGAGCTAACAAAAGGCGATTAAAACTCCCCCTGGGGGAGGAGGGGAGGGGGGGAGGGGGCTTTCCCAAACTATCAATACAAGCAAACGCAATGTTCCACTAACACTGGCTTCAGGATCCACATCACCAACGGGATTGAGCGGGTTGCACGTAACACTGGAGAGCACAGCACAATGTGAGCAGATGAGCCGCCTCGCGAGGACTCGGGCCGTTGGCGTTGGGGGGGGGTTTATTCACGTAGTCCACACGGGACCAGAACTGGAGCACAGGGTCAGATCACTACGAGACGGAGTGGCGATGCTTAACGTCATAACAGTAAATACAGTGTGAACACGGAAAGAGCTTAAAGAAACTACGGTCAGAGTGGGGCCGTATGAGCGCTGAGATAACTGTGTTTGAAGTTAATTCTAAGCCTATTCTATTAGACGTTTATTAATAAAGAGAACTTTTCAGAAAGGTAAACAACAACAAACAAACTGGAATAGTGCACGAGGGGCCTTTGTGCTCCACAAGTATTGGTAAAATGCACAGGTAGATACCAGCCTGCTCAGATTTCTTTTTTTCCATCTGACATCAGGCCGGGATCAACTTATTCAGAGCTGAGGCCCAATATGTTTGTTTGAGTCACACACTTTATACTGATAAATTCCAGACTCCAAAATAAAAAGGACTTGCGGCAAACACTTTAACACCTGGTTCTCTCTGACAGCTCAGGCAACTGATAACGTGACCCCAGAGCGTTGCTTCAAATAGCTCAGATGTTGCTGAGCCCGACCGAGCGCGTTATAAAAATACTTCTTGTGAAATAACCAGTGACCCAAATGCGGACGGCGAGAAAACACAAAGTCAACTTATTTATACTAATCGACATTGCTCAAACGATTGTGTGTGTGTGTGTGTGTGTGACCTTATGCACAGAGGAGACTTTAGGTGTTGAGCTACACAGCAGAACCGAGAGCCGGGCCACACTAGAGAAGCTGCTATTTACTGTACATAGTGCAAATGACAAGACCACGTGTTCCCACAATGAGAACTAATAGAAGCCGTTTCAGAGAAAATTACAGAGGGAATGAATGTGCTGCCACGCCTCACCTCACTGGCACAGCTCCGGGTGTCTAATGCCAACACAAGGGAGCCGAGGCTATCTATATCAGTGTCTGATGTCAAAGTCAGAACAGCTGTTCCAGGCTACATCGGCGTGGCATAAGTTGAATTTTTGCGTAATCCTTTGAAGAATGAATCTGTATCCGGGAATTCATTTTGTAGTCTTAAATAGAAGCATTACTTTATACAACGTCACAACCCCTTTAACATTGAGTGACACGGCGAGACCACATGCCACAACCCACGTCAGAGTGAGGGCGGAGAAGGGGGGTACAGGCTTGGATGTGGAAATTAAAAAGGTCAAATCCAGGTATAAAACCGCTCACCGCTGCACCAATAAGGGCTCAAGGTGTACAAGACCAGTGGGAAAGCTCCTGGTACAGACTCAGGGCCGATAAAACCACTCACAAAAATGTGTCTGAAAGAATGCAAAGTCAAGCATCATTGGCTTTGTAAACCACAGCGTTATCTTCTATACACAATGTAAAAGAAGATCATCATCTTCAAAACACAATTGCCCCTCTCCAAATGTGGCGTTCCAGTCAGAGAAAGCAATGTCTCACCAGTGGCCACTTGAACACCTCCTTGTGCGCGTCTTTAGCATGTCAACACCACGTCGAAGGCGGAGGCTCTCAGGGACTCACAGACTTACAAACCTATTTTCCCTCTCAAGTGCTTTGTGTAGATTCAATTCCTCTATAATCGAAGCCGGCCCAAAGAAAAAAACGACTATTACATAATAAGATGCGCCACACACGGACCGAAGGGAGCAGCCCGAGTGGCAGCGACGGGCTCGGTTCAGACATTACTCTCATCCCACACTAATTCGCAGGCCAGGCCCGGACATTTGGAAAGTATTTGCCTGATAATCACTACGTGTGCCTTCAGACATGGCGGCTCCACCATGATAGTGCAGAGTGGACGGCCCCTCGCTGCCTTTGATCTTGTTGGCTGCTCAGCAGCCCCTTGTGGCAAGCCTCGAAAAATAGAGGACCCCAGAGGATACATTAGAGCCAACTTTAAAAAGCTTGAAAATCGAAATCTGTAAACGGCTGGGATGGAGAAAATAAAATGATTAAAGCCCCTGAGTATAGGATTTTAAATATTTCCAACTTTGAGGGGGGCTTCGGGTTGAAAGAACGACGCTGCAGCCATTGTCGTTGCTACCAACACGAAGGACGCTGTAATCACATGGAAATAAAGACCCAACACAAACTCAGTGACTCATTACATTTACAGTTGGATATTCAATCTTGGTCGGATGAGCTGCAGCTTTTGTCAATAAAGCACTTTGCAAGTTACCGCTAGTTACATTTAGCTTTCATTCTATTTTGACCTGTCAGAGGGAAAAGGACTCGTTTTAACAATAACACTGGCTTCATTTTATTCAAATACCATGACGGAGCGCCAGCATGCACAATACTACAGCACTGAAACAGAAGCAGACGTTGTTGATTTAGACGGGTTCTTTTCATACTAAAAGATGTTGTGTTGGAAAAAGCCTATAGTGTATAACTACGAGAAGAGGACGGCGCAATGACGTGCAACAAACTTTAACCAACTCAGAGCCAACTCCGTCCCTGTTCAATAGATTCATAGTAAATGAGACACCAGCATGCTTTAACCAATAAAAGGCGACTACGCCCGTATGACGGAAAAATAAACATATAACCTGATTTTTTTATTAAAACTACTTTATTATAAACACAACAAATCCTGAAGTTCTTTGTCGCAGCCTAAAGGTTTTTGAACACAACAATTGCCATTTGGAACCAGGCGATGAAGACTGGGATTTAATTCTATTCATCGTACATTGCACAATAGTCCTATATTCTCCGCCTGCGCCTCAGAATTTACTGCTAATACCTGTTCCAAAACCAACAAAGCTCACGCAGACGAGGGTTTCGTTCCACACCCTTAAGTTCCGGGTACCTCGGGTGGCTCCAGGAGGCCGACTGATACTGCGGGACTCGCCTGGTTTCTGTTGTTATTGACAGCAACCTTACATGAAAGCCACATAGCACGATGTCTTTAGAACCTCTCAATACTGTTTAAACGGTTTCTGACTGGACAAAGTGTTTGAGTCATACCGATGGGCTGCATTGTAAGAAAACTATTTGAACAATGTTCAAATGCCTTAAGCTACAGGGAGAACTTGCCTTTTTTGTGCTGACAGACCTCCGTAGTACCCTGGCACTGGATCCGCTCACTCTGGTATTGCAGCTACTGCCCGAGGGTAGTGTGCTGGCAGATGGGGGGCTGGAAGGAGTACCGAGGGGAAGGGGCTTCTTCTCCGCCAGGTTCCTCTGGGACGCCACATTGTTGTTCTCGTTGAAGGTCAGGGACATTTTGTCCTGGGCATCCCGATCGGACAGGTCGACGTGCTGTCCGCTTTTGATTATGTCAAGATAATCTTTGAGCAACGACTGGGTCGTGGTGTCACTCAACCAGTTGAGAAACAGCTCGTCCACTTTCATCTTCAGGACGGGCTGGAGGACTTGCGGTGACGGCATTTTGCAGGTTGTCCCTGAATGGCTCCGACAAACCGAACACTACCTGTGCACACGCATAAGAGTAACCACAACACCACAGCTTGTTTTAATTCTGAGGCACACTGTGCATCCGGTGAGATGACGTTACGTTATTACCGATGCAATGACACAAACAAAATAGGGCCTGCAAACGCACGCTGTCTGCCGTCCCTCGCTGTGAGTAGTTACGCACCAAAACACTCAGTGACGTTATGGAATTTTAGCGCGAAGCGTCAATGTCGGAGCCCACAGGCAAAAGTAAACGTACGCACGTATTGACCTCGCTAACGTTAGCTATGTTTTTAAACTCCTTTCTAGGAAACGCAACAGTTTGAAACCATCACGTGCAGGCCTATGGGGTACTTAACGTTAAAAAAACAGAAGCGGGGGCTCACACAGTTAATGTGGATATGAGAGCACTCTGTTAGCAGAGGGCAACAACACTTGTTAGCTACGAGGGCTCTAGCAAGCTAACGTTAGCAGCTACTATTGAGGTAGGTTACCGACCTGGGAGTGAAGGCACGTAATTTACGACCAAACGCACCGATGTGACGTTACATTACTTCCTCCATCGAGCTGCCGCACGCCTACACGTTTACCTGAATTGCAAAAGTAACGCTATTTGTCCGGCGCTCATTTCGGTGAGCGAAAGCAAAGCACTCAAGCTCTACTCCGGGCTCTCGTTCCCCTGGTAACCACAGGCGTGTTAACGCGAGATCTGCCGCAGGGTGAGAGTTCATCGTCTGGTTCGTCCTCTCATCTGAGCACGTGTACTTTCACCGCCCACCTTCCACTGCTCACTGTGGTGTGTACAAATTATATATGTTTTTTTTCTCCACTCTATCATTATTTCCGCCGCTGCAGTTTTCCACGTTGTAAGCCTCAGCACTCAGTAGGAAATACAAATAGCAGTACTGCGGTTTGAACTACTTCCAGTTGTTCTCGCAAAATGTTCTAAAAGTATAGAAAAAAGGAATAATGGTCCTGCAGAATGGCCACTGAAAGTGTTTTAATAGACTAACGTGACCACTACTCGCCCCAGTACTACAACTACTACTTCTACCTGCCTACACCTAATCTTTCCTCCTTTCACAATTTTAAACATGTAATCTGCCATATTTATAAACTATGTATTTTATGTTAGTGTCAAATCTTCATTTCATTTCATTTAGTGTCAAATATACATACTTCTGAGCAAATTATGTAGAGTAAAAAATCTCAACATTTACATGGTATATATATATATATACATACATACCATTTTGTAACATTCCACCTCTGCATGTGCCAACCCCATCTTGCATGCACACTGTACATTGTATGGTTCTCCTGTCATCAGTGTATGAATGGGTGTGAATGGGTGAATGATGTCATGTAGTCTTAAAGCGCTTTGAGTGGTCGGAAGACTAGAAAAGCGCTATACAAGTGCAGTCCATTTACCATTTACATTGATACTTTTGTGTGATTCAGGCGTTCTTGATTTTCTTGTGTGCAAGTTGAGACTTACTTGGATGAAAACATTTATATTCATGTGTACAGTCTCCTGCAAAATTACCATCCACACGCCTTTTGTCAATTCAATATTGTTTGTTTTCTGCAATGCACAATCCAGATGAACTGGTCACCACTGCAGAAAACTACTCCTGTGTGGCCAATTTCTCCTCTTACGTACGTGATCCTCTGTGCCTGAATAACGACGACACATTGATTCCACTCCCTTCTCTTCTTACTCATCGAAGCAGCTGGACAAAGCACCTATGGAGCTGGATATTCTTATTGTTGTGAAGTAGTGGCCCAAAACATCATGACCCCCCTCACCAGCTCCCCGCAACACTAGGTGTATAACGTAAGTAACACAAGAAGAGGTCAGTCAAAAATAATGGGCGCCGTTCATGACACCGAGCTCAAAAATAAAGGTAAAATGAGCTGTACAGACTCATATCGAATCCAACCATCAACATATACGCGTATTTTAGAGACATAAGAGGCCAAGAAAAACAATTTTGGACACACTTGAGTGGTCAACATGTAACTTGAAAATGACTACAGTATTTCATGATCACGGTCAGGAAATGAATGCTACAATAACAATTTCACTTGGAATAACTTTCACTTACATGAGCATTGCAACCAAAAACAACAGCTTGATTACCCCACGTCGCTGTGGACACAGTGTTACTGGGTAATTGTACCCATTATGCAGGCAAAATAACAACATCGTCTAGACTAATGTGTACCTTTTGGCAATGGCAGATTATTGCCCTAAACCAAACGTTCCACTTATTTCTTGTTGGGATGAAGTTCACTTTTTCTCTGCCTTCTTTTTTTTTAATACGATTGTTTGCTGCTGGTGTTACTGAGATGTGAAGTGTTTATAAAGTACATCACAGTTTTATGTTGACCTTAAAAGACGATTACCCGAAATGCACGTTAGTGGTGGTATATTTCTCAGCGCTTTCATCATTAAAGACATTAGGAACACCTCTCAACCTAAACCCCCCGATGGCTAATAAACCATCCAAAGGGCCTGCGGACTATCAAGAGCAAACAAATGGCAGTTGCACAGTTGGGAAAGTTATTGACCGAACTCTCCTGATTGCATCCCTTGATAACGCCTGTAAATCAAATCTGAAACATTCAAAGTTGTCTGACGCCCCGGCACGTAATTAGAAACCTCTTTCTTCTGCGTTTCGCAGCCTGATCAATATCAGAAACGAGAAGAAAGAGAGCGAAAAAAAAAGTGCAGGTCTCGAAACTTTGAGCTATGCAACTTTTCAAAGTGTAATTACAGTGTGCGAATAGGATTTTACCCAAAGCAGTGTGCATGTTGTTTCTTTTTCCCGCCTTGAAGGACATTTCAAAGGTTTGGCCGAAGCGGACACCACAGGGGGACAGCTGGTTAGCGTAGGAAAGTGTTAGTGAGGAGTCCATGTGTGCCGCTCTCCCTCACCGCTGTCAGCTGCGCCATACGGGCGCTCTGTGAAGTAGGCGATAAGCAATCTGCTCTAATAACCAGAGTGAATCAAGTTGAAAGTGTTGTGTTGTAGCTGCGCTCTGTGGAGATGTGTTTGGACCATATTACAGTCCATGCACATAATACAACAGGCTATTATTTTAAGGTTTAAGCTTTGTTTCACGTTGTGCAAAATTTGTGCAACTTTTTTCCTCTTTGTTTCTTAAAGAAACATTGAATAACAACTGGAGTGCGTCTATTACACCGCAGTCGAGAAGGCACCTGATTGAACTGTAACTTTTAGCTTCATGCAGCTGTAACAACAGAATGAATTCAAACATAGACGGATGGTTTTAATAGTTCTTTGACAAATACTTTCCCCTATTACTCATTACATTCTGACATTGGAACAAAACGGACTCCCAGATGGTTGTCATTGCAAAAGGTTTCCGAACCTTTGATTCCAATCCAAGCCTTTATATCTTCATGTGATCGTGGGCATTATGGCGCAGCTAACCTTGAAGTTAAAAATAGCCTTTTCATTTTCATACAAAAGGAACTTTTCTGATTAAATGTCCTGTTTGAAGCGGACATAAAGATCACAGGGTGACATTGCTTTGCCGGCGTTGAAGCTTTTGTCTGAGCTGGTCTTTGAGCTGTTCAGCCAATCTTTGTGGCAGACGTAAGTCAAACCACGGTCACGTCATCAATCAAATTCTTCTTCTCCTCTTATCGTTAAAACATCATCTTCATTGTTTTATCAGATTTTCCCCCAAATTTGTGAAGAAATGACTGGTTTTGACAAAAATGTAAAATAGATATTTAAGTAGAGAAGTACACGTACGGTTTTGACTTCTACTCTAAAACATCAATGTGACGTTGAACTAGTTTTGCAGGTTGATTCTGCGATTCATATCCTTTTTTTTGTACACTTGTAGGTGACACTACGCAGTTCATGGTGGCTGGGAATTTATTTACCTGCAGATAAAGAAAATTGAATTGAATGAAATGAAAACATGAATTTCTGTGGATATTTCTTTGCATCGTTTTTCTCTTATATTAGTCACATTTTGACATTTTGTTGATTTTAAAACCCATGCAATGGCAACAGAGAGACAGGAACATCCTTTATACTACCCAAACAACTCACTGACCTCTCAAGTTAAATGTCCCCATTACTCGATCAGAAGGGAAACACATGTCAGCCTATTACATGAACTGTTTTCTTTAAGCTTGTTTGCATGGGATCATATCATATCTGTCCAAACGGTGAATGTATGTGAGGCCTATCGGCACAGACGTCGCCGCATGCGTGATTTCATCTTTGGCTGACGTGTCTTTCTCTCGTCAACCGCCGCAGAGAAAAAACATCAGCGCCCTTTAGAATGATCATGCTGCTACGGAACAGTTTTTAGTTTTTTTGATAGCATATTGCTTTTTGCATCAATAAACTGATACAATGTAGCCAGTAAATAATGTTGTCATGTAAAATAGATTTTCCAATTGGCTTTTATCAATAAAGATTGTGCTATTTGTGTGTAAAAGTGACGATTGCAAATATTTTGTATAACATGGCTCTTAAAAATAACGTATTAATTTTTTCCAGCATTCTTCATGGTTTTTGATAAATGGAGGTGTTTGAAACGGATAAACTACACAGGAGCCGACTGTACATTTCATCCATTTTAAAGACAATTTGTAAAATCCATAATATAGAATTAAAAGTAAATTTGATACATTTGAAAATGATTTCCCAACTTTGTCAGCCCTCATGTGTTATTTTACTATATGTCAGTTTACTATATGTCCCCGGTCCATTATTTTACATGGCTTTGTTTTTCCCCAGTCAGTGCTCACCACTCCTCTCAGCTTTAGAAGCCAGACAGACTTATAGACAATTCTCTATATGTCTGATTTTCAATAATAGCCCGACATCTAAATAACTGCTAGCATAAAGCAACAATCTTACACGAGTGCAGCTGCTGTAGTGATGTTTTTGGACCAGAAACGTCTTTGATCTCGGTCTTAAACATTCTCCGTTTGATATGCTTTCAAAATGTTACCGCGGTGCAAACCTCACTCTCCGCCTTCCCCCCAAAAATGGCACTCGGGTAGTGATGAGCCGTATCCCGGCTCTTTCATGGCTACACTGTAAACACGCACCACTCTTTTTTTTTTTTTTATTCCGTAAGAAAAAAATCACAGGCAAGAGAATCAAACTGTCTTCAGTCAACATTTATATTCCTAATACGCGGCGCGAAAGAACCGAGCCGCAGAGGAGAGGAGGAGACTTCTTTCATTAAGGCACCTCACTGATGCTCTGAAGTTTGCTCCCTCCATCTGAGATGACTTTAAAAGAGAAACAATGCCTCTGCCTGTTGGGGGCTTTGGAGACGTTCCCTCTCATCACGTATTAATGAAAGAAGTGGCATGTATGGAGCTGGAGAGCTAAAGCAAGGAGAAACCTGGATTGCATGTACGCCGCTTCGTCCTCGCACTCACAGTGGTACGCTACGTGCAGGAGAGAGTGTGTGGCCTGGGCCTGCAGAGGGCTCACTTCTCCTGGGATCCTCCGAGGGTACACCTGCCCCAAACCCTCCTTCTGCACACACACATATAAACATTATTCCTTCCTCTTAATATCAGTCAACGAGACTGCGAATCAGTTATTCTGCCTCACTTTCCAACACTGGCCTCCGTTTCTCCTTTAATGAGACAGGCCCATCAAGGCGAAGCAGTGGGTGGGG